CCATCTTGCTTCTGTTTATGCTCTTAGTGAGAAACCTCTGAAAACTAAAGTCATATTTTTCTAAAATATTTTCACAAGACTTAGTTTCAGAATCAGATTCTTGTTGAGTTCTATCAAAGTCATTTTTTATTTTTAAATTTATTTCCTTCTGCTCAACAAGTTCTGTTTTCAGAAGATCAATCTCAGATTCAAGATTGCTTTTCAGCTTCTTGTATTTGAGTTTGATGTTGTTGTAACTTTTAAGAACTTCTGTTAAAACTTTAATGAGTTCTTCTTTGGTAAGTTTAGCCATTACCTCTTCTGCATCATCATCAGATTCAGATTCTGATTCATATCCAGAGGTACCTTCCTCTTGATCCTCTGTCCTGGCCATCAGTGCAACGTTTGCACATTCTTCTTCTGATTCAGAAGATGACTCACACTCATCTGAGTCATCCCATGTTGCCATTAGAACCTTTTTCTTCTTGTTGAACTTCTTCTTAGGTTTTTCTTTCAGAAGTTTAGGGCAGTCATTCTTGTAGTGCCCAGGTTCTTTGCACTCATAGCACACCACTTCTTTCTTGGCAGATCTTCTGTGACTAGAAGATTCCTTTCTGTTGTCAGATCTTCTGAAGTTGTTAAACTTCTTTCCCTTGTGCTTCCAGAGTTTGTTAATCCTTCTGGACAGCATGGACAACTCATCTTCTTCTTCAGAAGAAGATTCTTCAGAGCTTTCTTGAATAACCTGCAAAGCTTTAGCAGTTTTGTTAGATTTTAAAGCTATGGATTTACCTTTATCTTTCTTCTGGGGTTCATCTTCCTCCAGCTCAATTTCATGGCTTCTCAAAGAACTGATAAGTTCTTCTAAGGAGATCTTGTTCAGATCTTTTGCCATCTTCAATGCAGTCACCATTGGTCTCCATCTGGTGGGAAGACTTCTGATGATTTTCTTGACATGATCTGACGTTGAGTAGCCCTTGTCCAGAACTTTCAGACCAGCTGTAAGAATCTGAAATCTAGAAAACATAGTTTCTACATTTTCAGAATCTTCCATTTTAAATGCCTCATACTTCTGTATGAGCGCCAGAGCCTTTGTCTCTTTAACCTGAGAGTTTCCCTCATGAGTCATTTTGAGTGATTCAAACATGTCATGAGCAGTATCTCTGTTAGTAATCTTCTCATACTCAGTATGAGAGATTGCATTAAGCAATATAGTTCTGGCTTTGTGGTGATTCTTGAAGTCTCTTTTCTGCACTTCAGTCATTGATTTTCTATCAATCTTTTTGCCATCCTCTCCAATAGGATGTTCATATCCATCAATGACCAAATCCCAAAGATCAGCATCATACCCAAGAAAAAAACTTTCTATTCTATCTTTCCAATAGTCAAATTTTTCTCCATCAAACATTGGAGGTTTGGTACTGATCATATCCCTCTCTTCATATTTATTATTGATATTTGACATTGAATTATCAGCTATGATAACAAATAAATATATTGATCAAAGTATATCTCCTCTGGATCTTTACTGACACTGTTAAGTGATTGCACACTCAGCACCGGAGCTCTGATGCCAACTGAAGGTGAGATAATACTTAGAAGGGGGGGTTGAATAAGTATGAAAAATTAATACTTGAAAATAATCACACAATTATTTTTATCCTGGTTCGTTAAACAACTACTCCAGTCCACCCTTCCAGAGTGATTTGCCTTTCTCAACAAGGACTTAATCCACTATTAAATCAAACTGATTACAATAGTATCACCTAAGAACTACAGTTCTTAGTCTTCTCAAGAGCTACTGATTCACACTGAATCCTCTTAAGGAATATCCTTTACAAACAATGTAAATTAAATAACAAGAGTTTTTAATGCTTATATAAAGCTATAATCACAACAGTGATTTTTCTCTTAAGTTTTAAGTACAATAAGATTCTATGAAGAATAAGAATGAGAGCTTATAGAATATTGTGATTTCTTTTCAGCAAGTGTGTAACTGAAGAATGAAGTGAGGAACTCCTTTTATAGGCAGCTGAATCATGCACGTTGAAAAGAGAGTCTCAAAAGGTCTGAGCCTTTTTGTCTTCACATGCACTGACCTTTCCTTGAAATAGATGGCACAGATAAATCCTTTTTGTCTGTGTAAGTGTGTCTAGCACAAATAAGGAAAGAGACGTTGAATAGTTCCAACGGATATATTCTTGAAAACATTTCTTCAGTTTCAGCAAGTTCTTCAGAGTCTGAATGGATCAGAGTCTTCTGATGAGTTTCAGAACTATGCTGTATCAGAGTCTTCTGCAGCGTGTGTGCTTCTAGCGTGTTGATCATCAGAGCATCTTGACACAGAACTTCAGTACGTAGGTACTTTCAGAAACTTCTGTAGATCAATGCTTTGAGAAACTCTTCAATCAATATTCTTCTATACTTCTGATGCTTCAGCTTCAGATGCTTCTGATTATCTTCAGATGCTTCTGACTCAGAATGTTCTGTAGCTTCTTGCTTCAGATCCTTCTGGAGACTACGCTCAGGATCTTCTGTAAGGAGCAAGCAGATTCTTCTGTAAGGTGCATCTGGCGCTTCAGAGTCAGAACAGCTTCTTGTATTCAAGGCAGATTTGCTTCTAGAGAGTTAATATAATTTTAATCTGCAGTAAAACTCTCAAACAAATTTTAGAGTATATAATTCTTAAATATAAATTTCCTAACAGTTATCATCAAAACAAAGAGTAATTATTAAGAACCAATCTGTGTTCTAACAATAGGTTTTTTGTGTGGCCTGGTCTGACCTTTTTAAAAGTTTGGTATGACCTAAATACCTATTTAAAAATCTGTTCAACATTAAGGCTTTCAAATAGTTAATTTTATCTATGAAGCCTTATAGGTTGACCTATATATGCATATATAAGTCGATCTATTTAGCCAATTTTCAACTTCCTCCATCGCATAAAAAGTGTCTCAGTTGCACTTTTTCCCTGTCCCAAAATAGTTGTCCATTTCCAATATTAATGCAACATTTATTATTATTTTTTCATTATTGTACTCCGAGTTATTGACTTTCACTTTATTCAACTACACTATTATCTATAATTAATAAGAGTATTATAATAAGTGATATTAGTTTTATCATTCAAAACAACATATCTAATCATTTTTTAAGAACCACACATTGCTCAAATATGACATTTTTTATGAGACGAATGGAGTAATATATAAAGATATATATGTCAACTTATAAGACTTCATAAAAAAATTTAATTGCCTACACCTGACATATATAATTAAATAGGTTTTTAAATAAACTAAGTCTAACTTGTTTATTAAATAGGTCAGACCAAACCTTAAATAAACTAGTCTATGAGTTTTTGTAGGTTGACCAAACGTATTACAATCCCTAATTACGAGCAATCTCATAATGTCTTAAAAATGTTGGTTTATCTTTAATTTTTACGGCAACTTTCGATAAAAAAAATAATAAATCATGACCAAATATAGAAATTTTTATCCAAATAACACATTTTTTTAAATAAATATTCAAACTAATCCAATTTTTCACTTATTTCTCAAACTAATCCACTTTAAAACAAAATAAATTTTCAAGAAGCGTCAATTTAATTGGTGATAGTGTACAACACATAAGAGAAGACGTCAATTTAATTGGCGATAATGTACAAACATGCGATAGAGTATATATTTATACATTGTCGACAATTAGATTAATATCTCCTCTTATGTATTGTATATTATTATTAATTGAATGAGTTAATTTAAAAATCACATGGGAATGTAGATTAGGTTTGGTATTTATTTTAAAAAGTGAAAATTTCCAAATATAAAATATAACAAATAAACAACTTACCATCATTTCATAAGTGTCTTTTCAAATGGTTAATTAACATGGTTCCAAAAGAGTTCTACTAGTGGAAATTGAAAAATTGAAAAAAAAAACTGTCCAAATAGATTAGAAGTCAATACTAGAATTTTGTAGTACATGGTTAATTAACATGGTTCCAAAAGAGTTCTACTAGTGGAAATTGAAAAATTGAAAAAAAAAACTGTCCAAATAGATTAGAAGTCAATACTAGAATTTTGTAGTACATGAAATATGTTGAGGTCAAATGAGAATTTTTCAAATTTTATTCCATGATTTTTGCAAATATGTGAGAGGTCCTATTACACACATAATAAAACTCAATAAATGAGATCACTTCACTTGTTTCTTTCCACATATGGAACAATTGGAGAGCAATTATAACCGTCCGATTAAGATTACTTAAAAACGCGTTATCGTTAGGACCGTCTGATGATAAAACGAGGTTAATGAAATTAAAGGATGCACCAAAAGGATCGCGTCTCTCTCTATTTTATTATTTAATTATTTATTTAACTGCACGCAGAGAGCGATCTCTCTCTCTCTCTCTCTCTCTCTCTCTCTCTCTCTCAGAAGAGAACGATGGTGATGATGCTGTGTTCTTGTTAGGGTTTGATCCACATTGCGTTTGCGAGGTCCTCTTTCACATCCAGGTTTTTAATTGGATTCCTACTTAGGGTTTCGCACTTTTTTCTTTCCCTTTTCTCTCGATCTAGGGTTTATGATCTCATTTTCCCAACTCCTTTTCGCTAATTCAGGAAACCATCTCTTTTAATTCCTTCATTTTCGATTAGGATAACGATTTTCAGGGATCATGTGCTCTTCTTTTCGTTCAATTACTCATACGTTTTGAATGTTTTTGCACCTCGGAACAAGAGAGAAGAATACTCTTATTAGTATTACTCGCAAAATAAAGTTTTGTTTTTTTTGGTTTAGAGAGAAAATTGTTGACGATAGAACTGAAATTAGTCTATTGGGTATATTGGGCATGAGACAACTGCACCCATCACTGGGTTATATCATTTTTTGCGTTAAAATTTGGAGGATAAGACTTGATTCTTCTTGCTTCTGAGAGTTTTGGTTTAGAGATTGCTGTGTGGGAGAAATTTTTTTGTTGTTGTAGTTGATATGTGCGGTTGTTGGAATTTCATCTTATGGCACCAACTGTTCCAATAGATTTTGCTGGGCAAAAGGAATCCAGAAAGTACTCTCATTCACAAATCATGGGGAAATCTCGAAAATATTCTAAAGGTCATGCTACTGGGTTTGTTCCTGAATTTCGTCATGTTGTAGAGACTATGGGTGAATCGGATGGATTGGGTAGCTCTGGAAGGGTTGAGATGGAGCCGGCGGCATCGGCAGATTCCTATGCACCGAACAGGAAATGCGCTGGTTTGAAGAGTGATACTTGTTATGGTAGTTCTGATGTACCTTATCAATTATTCTCGTTGTCTAAAATGTCGGCTATGGAAAGAAGGGATTTGAAGTTGAGATTAACTTGGGAACTTGAAAAAGTGAGGAAACTTCAGAAGAAAATGGATGGTATGAATTCAACCATTATTGGATTATCTCCGTCCAGTGACATAAGGAGCTGCAGTGTGGGACAGAAAAGGCCTCAGTTGGAGAGCCAATACAGTATACTGCAGGCATCAGTGCCACACGGTAAGAAAAGACCTCTGCCAGGACGTAGTGGTCCCAAGACAAAAAAAAGCATGTCTGGGCGTTTTGAATGTCCGAAACCTGCTGCACCAATGGATTCATATGATACATTGATGAAACAGTGCGAGAATTTACTTAACCGTTTGATGTCTCATCAATATGGTTGGGTCTTTAATAAACCAGTCGATCCTGTTGTATTGAACATTCCCGATTATTTCAATGTCATCAAACACCCAATGGATTTGGGAACTGTGAAGAGTAAACTTACTTCTGGTAAATATTCAAATCCCATGGATTTTGCTGCTGATGTGAAGCTGACATTCTCAAACGCAATTACTTATAATCCACCTGGCAATGATGTGCATAGCATGGCAAATACTCTTAATAAAGTCTTTGAAACAAAATGGAAGTCCATCGAGAAGAAAATTCCTTTCATTGATCTCCGCGTCTCATCCGAGCTTTCAAAACATACACACATAGAAACCAAAATTTCTGACCCAATCCCCCCCATAAAAAAGAAGAAAATGACACCAAATAACACTAATACCACCAAGCCAGAGCCTGTCAAAAGAATTATGAGTGACATGGAGAAGCAGAAATTGAGTCAAGAGTTGGAGGAGATGCTTGGAGAGTTGCCTGAAACCATTTTGGAGTTTTTGAAAGAGCAAAGTCACAATGCAGGGCAAACCAATGATGATGAAATTGAGATTGATATTGATACTCTTAGCGATGATACCTTATTCAAATTGCGGAAGCTTCTTGATGATTATATGCTAGAGAAGCAACGATTCCAGCCAAAAGCTGGACAGTGTGAAATGGAGGTCTCTTTCTCTTTCTCTTTCTGTGTGGTTTACATTAATGTCAAAACCATATGATAGATACACCAATGTATTTAAGATCAATAAATTTTATAAATTGTATGAAATTATGATATTAATCTGCCTTATGGTTATGATTCTTTCAATTTAGAACTTTATTTGTTGAAATTTTGACATCAAAATTTCTTTACTGCATTGACACTTACTCGGTGTAATGCACATCCTCACTTGTATTGTGTTTAAATGCAGTAAACTACTATTACATGCATGTTTGTAATTCAACTACTTTATGTATGTCTCATTTGACTGACGTTTTTCCCCTTGCTTGTTTTTAATGCAGATTCTTAATGAATCTGGGTTTAGCAATTCATCGATGCAACCTTCTAAAGGTATAGTGTGTATTTTTCCCCTCTTTGCAAATGTTTTTGTATCCATTTGGTACAAATGGCAACGGTAATTGACTCTAATCACGATCCTTTATTTTCACTGCAAATGCCAGGCAACGAACTGGTTGAGGAGGATGTTGACATTATTGGTGGGAATGATCTTCCTAATTCAAATTATCCTCCACTGGTGATTGAAAGAGATGGAGCCAACAGAAACAGTAAATGCAGTAGTTCAAGCAGCTCTAGTAGTGAATCTGGCTCATCATCCAGTGGTTCGTGTTAGTGCATACTTTTGATATGTTTCCTATAGCTGGACATGTTTACAGTCTTCTAATTGCAGATAGTATACCCGGAACTTCATTTTAATTTCTTTTAGTAATGGTTTCCCCAACTGTCATGCAAGCCAAATTTCTATGATATTTTGAGTCCTTAAACTGTTTTACTTTTTTTCCAGCTCTCAATCAAGCTTTTTAAGTATAATTCTTCTATGTAATAATTTTGGTCTGTTTCATCCATCTGGTATTCCAGTGTCAATTTTGTTTGCCTTGTTAATGATATTCCTCTCACTCAACTATTTCATTAACCAAGTGTTAATGGTGTAAAGTGGTCGCTGGCAGGAACTTTTCATTTTTTTCCTGCCTTAATATTACATCCGTTATCATTTTTGGTTGGACTCACTACTTTAGTCTTTATCTTAAATGTAGTTTCTTTCTGATGTCACATTTAGCTGTGTGATTTATTTTGCTTGAAGTGTTCACTCAATAAGTTGTTGGTCAATTTTGATGTACTGAATAAAAGAAAATGCTTGTGATGTCAATTTACTTGTTACAGATACTTGTGCGTAGCATTGTCAAGTAGGAAAATAGACGGGCATAGTTTCTTTCAGTATTTCTTGTATAAATTCAGTAGCTATTGTCAATTTTCTACTTTTTTGGCTTATGATTATGGCAAAATTAGACACTTGTAAATGACTTTTTTCTGCGTTATTATTTGTCTGACTGTTGCAATTGTGGCACAACAGATTCAGATTCAAGTAGTTCATCTGGTAGTGAGTTAGATACTGCTAAAGCGTCAGAACCTCTTAGTTCTAAGGTGATTGGGTACATACAGTATCAAATGTTGTGTTATTCATAGAAATCAATTTCATTTCTGCTTTGACCATTTTCATGTTAAAAACCAATACACATTGCAGGAAAATATAGGTCCTGGCTTGACTTATGATCAAAACAGGGGGGATCCTGGTAATCCAGCAACTGGAAATGGTGGGTCGTAGAATTTATGGTGTTTTGTAAGCAAGTGCATATTATAGTTTCTTTGCATGCTTTTTGATGAGGATCTACCCACCTTAGTTGTTTTCTTTCTCATTATTTTCCTGTTTAGATTCAACTAACCTGGGTAGCCAGGTTGACCAGAGTTTGGAGACTAAGACTGTTACCATTGAATCAGAAAGCCACCAAGATGGTAAGCTTGAAACAAGCAGCAATATGTCTGCAATTAGTTTTGGGGCATGATCTCACCCTTCATGCTGTAACATTTTAGGGGAGTGTGCTGCGTCTAAGAGGCAAGTCTCTCCGGAAAAGCTCTACCGCGCAGCTTTATTAAGGAGCCGCTTTGCTGACACCATATTCAAAGCTCAAGAGAAAGCCCTTGAAAAGGTTTGTTAAGGGGGTAATATGGCAGTTGAAGTTTCAATTTGTCGCATTAGTATTTAGTAGAATAAGTTGGGTTTGTTAAATTTAAGAAACACAGCCATTTGAAAACCATCAAGGTTTTAAGTATTTAGTTTTTGTCTCTGTCTCAGTAGAGAATCTCTACTATTGCTACAAATTTGGTAATTGCTACTTTACCTGTATTGTTTCCTTTTTCATGAAAGTTCTGTTAGCATTTCTGCAAGTTTAATATGAAAGTCGGTGTTTCAATTCCAACTTGATCTCAGGATGATAAACGTGACCCTGAAAAGCTTAGAATAGAGCGGGAAGAACTTGAGAGAAGGCAGAAGGAAGGTTTGTTTTTTCTTTTTACCTTGTAATTTTCTTCTCTCTAAATGTTTAAATGTTGAACTTTTATAGAATACTGCTTATGTTTTTCATGATTTGTCTGACTGATAAGTTTGTTTTTGTACATCAGAGAAAGCTCGGCTGCAAGCAGAGGCAAAGGCTGCAGAAGAGGCTCGGAGGAAAGCTGAAGCTGAAGCTGAAGCTGAAGCCAAAAGGAAGAGGGAACTGGAGAGAGAAGCAGCCCGCCAGGCTTTGCAAAAGGTAGTTTGGAATTATATATTTCCAAATACAAATTTAGCTTCCTGGCACGTTTCACTGAGCAACTCTGTTTGCAGATGGAGAAAACTGTTGATATCAATGAGAGCTGTCAGTTTTTGGAAGATCTAGAGATGCTAAGTGCTGTACATGATGAAAATACGCCAAATTTCAAAGAGGAAGCTAGCCCAGATGATCATCAAAATGGATTTGGAGGTATCAGGCTGCAGGGAAATCCCTTAGAGCAGTTAGGATTGTACATGAAGGTTGATGATGAAGATGAGGAGGAAGAACTGCCTCAGAGTGCTGCAGAGCCATCGAAAGATGTAGAAGAAGGGGAAATTGATTGATGTATCCACAATTGATTGTTGAATCACATGAAAAAAAAAATATATGAACAGTGGTTCTGAGCAGTCGTTGCTGGCTCCACACTAGGAAGTTTGAGGATGGGATAGTAAAAACTTAGAAATGGGCAGATTTGGCTTTTCCTTTTTGCACTTGGGAAAATGGTTTCTGAGCATAGGCTAGCGCGTTATCCCCATTTATTGAAGGGCTTTGGTATCTGGATACTGATTTGCCCAGTTTTGCATGTAAAAGATGAACTCATTGTAACGAGTTCTACGCCCAAGCTTGAGCTTGAGTAATTAACTTCACTCACATTGTACAATATGTTAGATGTTAGATCCGAGGTAGAAATCTCAATTCTTTCTATTTATTGTTGGAAAATACCTTGTGACCGAGTCAGGTGTGAAGATTCTTTTATCATTGGTTCTTCGATACAGTCAGGTGTGAAGATTCTTTTATCATTGGTTCTTCGATACATTCTGTTCTATTTACGGACACAGTAAATACTAATTGCCTTTCCATGACTATTTGTGATTTACAATAAAGACTTTGTTGATTTATTTATATATTGTTTTAGGCAGTTATGCTTTATTATTTTTGGGAACAGTTACAAAAATTATATCTTAAAAAGAGAAAACTAAATTGACATTGCCGTTCACATTTCTGTGTTACTCTACACTGCAAAATTTATTCACATTTCTCAACCCTAACCGCCTTTGTAGCATCATTCCTCAAACACACTTTCATCTGACAACGTAGAAGTCTTGGTTCCATTAACAAAAATTTCATCCGAGATATCAGCATTGCCAAGATTCCTCAGAATACTGAAGTCAAAGTCGTCGTCATCATCATCATCATCTGTTTCTTCATCAACTTCACCTTGCTTCTTCAAATACTCAATAAATTCACTTCCATCTTGCTGCTTCTTCAAATACTCAATAAATTCACTGCCCTGAAGCTTGACAGTATCTTCATATGGCATTTCAAACCAAACATTGTCCTTACCCACAATTGATTTGTTATGAGTATCGGCCATCCTCTCTTTTCTACGCTTTTCTGAATTGTAGGGTTCTCCCCAATAGTCATAACGGTTGAGAGCACTATCAGGATCATACTGGCCTTTAAATAAAATCCTAGCATCCACGAACCTTCCTGGCTCTTCCAATGGCAGTCCAAGAGTTTTGCGACTGCAAAAAAAAAAAGGGAGAAAGACAGGTAAAAGACATGCATCATAACAAGAAATGAGAATAATAGACATGAATACAACAATACCAGCTGATGTCTCTAATCAAAGCTTCTCTTTCCTCAAATGATCTACGCCAATGCATGAAATCATATTCATCCATCTCAATATTGCGCTTCAATGTGGTAATTTTGTACTCCTCGCCTCTGTTCTTTGCTTCCTTCCATAATTTCTTATGGAGCTGTATCCCAAAAGTTTACCTCAGATTAATGAAAGAGACAACTATTCTTCATCCTAATTTTCCTACAGTCATCATGACTTGTACACGTTGATGCCACATCACATGAAACCCTAAATACAAGTTTCTTATTGGTTTAAAACTTTCGCCATTGGAACTGTTGAGGAATCTCTTGAGTATGAAAATTTAAGTTTATGAAGTGACATCAACGTTTACGTTGATGTCACTTTACCAAAAAAGTGTTTTTAAGGATATTTACGTTGATGTCACTTTATCAAAAAAGTGTTTTTAAGGATACTTCTGAGCCGTACATCTCTTAAAATTTTGGTCATCAGAATTTGCAAAAGCGCTAGCAGCGAATCTGTCACTAGGCTTAGGGAAAAAGAGTGAAAATTCATGCAGTGAATAATTGGTTTTTAGTGCCTTAAACTACGTTCAAAAAATTCGAAGGCATCACTTAAAGCACAAAGTGGTCCCTAGAACCAGCAGTGTAAATATGCATTGGCGATAAAAGGAAAGCTGACCTCACGCTCAGCAAGTGCAGCCTCTAAGTCAAGCTCTTTGACACTTGTTTTCTGCCATAGTTAAAAACAATATAAACATGCAACCAAATGAATGTAAGTTCAGAGTATAAGTTTGTTAGAAAGAAAAGACTAAATCCCTTTAAATCGGATTATGATATTAATAATTCAATTTACATTTGATTGTTTATCTCTTATTATTCTGTGTATTACTATTGTGTATTTTTCTTTCCAAAGTAGCAGCAGATTGGTTAATGCTTCGCAACCAACATCCCCCTTTGCATTTAACCCTTGTATGAATTCACTTGAGATAACATTATCTCCTACTTTATTTCAATGGTATCATAGCATTGTCTCTGAATGTCCTCCCATGGTAAAAATGACCATGACAAATGACTGGAATAACTATGACCCTTAACTCAACTCCACAAGCTTAATTGAAAGAAAAATCTCAAATGGGCTTGATCTGAAGTTAACAATGAATGGTAGGGAAAATTAGGGTATATTGAATTCTGTTAACTTGTATGGTTCTCAGTCTATTTAGCTTTTTACTTTAAGCTTTTAGGGGTTAAAGTCACCTGAACGCAAGTTCATGTCAAGGCTACAAGAGATAACTTCAGAGTGAAATGCCTCGGAGCATCTCCAATGGGGGAACTAATTTTTTATTGCTTAACCTATTTTATGTGGGACAAATTGCCACGTTGCATTTAAGCAACATCTAAGCAAACTAAATCAATTTTACTCCAATGGTGATTTCAATAAGCAATCTATATGTGACCCAATCAATTATCAAGATTAATATTATTTAATAATAAGCAACACTTTTTGCTTTGCTTCATGAAGCAACTTACACAAAAATATAAGTAACGAGAGCGCCACGTGTATCTACTCCAATGGTAAAAATGCTAGCTCTGGAACTTTTTTTTTTTGACACAGCTTTGGAACTTAAAATCTACATATGTATTAAGCAACCTCCTGGGAGATGCTCTCAGGACGCAACTTACTGTTGCTTGAGTTTATCCCATGATATAAGAAAGTGTTTTAATGTTAGGGGCATTAATAAAACTAATTTATGACATGTTCAAAAAATGTTTTCAACTTATTTTACCAAACTCAATAGAATAGCTTATGAATAAGTAGTTTATTCATATCATATGCATCCTTAATTAAATAAGGACAACTTTAATTTTAAGATTTCTTTTTAAAAAGTTGAGCATTTATTCATGTAGTATAACTGTATAAGTATCTTATTCATATATAATGCATATATTATAGGGAATTTTCATGAACTACTAAAACATATATCTAATTTCAATACGGTGGCCATCTACTATGTGCTATCCCGTTATGTTTGGGATTGGGAACTATATTAACATTTGAAGTATCCAATTTAGAAATTAGATCTGATTTAAATTTCGTTGTTTATCTCTTATTTTTCTTTTCTATGTTGAACTGGATCTATTACTATTTCCTAACTTTCTATGTTGAACCGGATCTATTACTATTTCCTAACTTTCTATGTTGAACCGGATCTATTAATATTTCCTAACTGTCTATAACTATTTTTCTTTCCTATGTTGAACTGGATCTATTACTATTTCCTAACTTTCTATGTTGAACCGGATCTATTACTATTTCCTAACTTTCTATGTTGAACCGGATCTATTAATATTTCCGAACTGTCTATAACTCTTTCTCATCCAAAATAACAATAAGAATAGTACTCACCAAAGTTACTTTTGGCACTAATGCATTCTTATACTGAACTTTTGTGTGCTGAACAGATTTTTCTTCATCAAAATCCTCTTCGTCAACCAAGTCTGACAGCTTTTTGCCTTTATATTTATCAGGATTAATATCCATATCATTCAAAATCATTTGCTCAGCTGCATTGATCTGCCACAACTGCAAACAAAGTATTAGTGTCATGTGCTAGTAAAGAATATCCAATCGTGGTTTCAGGAAAGAGCTAGTAAATGCAGAAAAGAGAGAAAATATCACATGCAAGAAATAGAATGCTTCACTTCTAAGCCTCCTAGAATTCAAACAGATTCCACCTCTTTCAGTTCTATTCCTTCCCTCATATCCATGCACCCTTCCCCATTTATTGGCAGCCACCTGCCCATTCTGTTGGGTTCCTTTCTAACAGACCACGCCACCTCAATTTCCCTCCTCACCTTATCATTATTACCTCTGTTATATCTTTGATACACCTGAACCAGGCCCTAAATAATCGTAGATTTGGGTGCGTGTTACTATGATATCAGAATAATTATAAAACTGCAAGGCAAAGTATGGCAAGTCACTCAATGAAAAAAATTCATGTTCCTGTCACATGCTTTTAAATACTGCAGACTTGAACACAGCCCTGTATAAAATTATTGTAAACCAGGTGCTGCAACTCAAGCGACACAGTTTCTTTAGGGACCACTTGATCCCAAAACAGAATAAGGCCACTCTGCCTTCATATTAGCCTACCCTTGCAATTCCCAGACAAAGCTCTACGAAAAAAAATATTACCACAATACTCGTACATTAAATTTTTTTGAGACTGAAAACTACATGCCAGTAACAGATGCTAAAAGATCTGGCCAAGGATAAAACAATCATTCTATTTTCACCTGTGATGTATATATAGAATGCCAAGTGGCCTAACCAATTACGTACATCTGTTTTCTATTGCCCTCTTTCTTTAAACATCAAAGGCAAAAAAAAAAAACAAATAAAAGAGGAGAAACTCATTTATCCTCTAAGTACATCACACCTAACAGTACAGATTACTTCTTATTTAATTAAAGTCAATCTACCTGTCCATATCATAACTGCATTGCCATGTTTATGGCAGGTGGGTTCGGTGCACATTACTTTTTCAGCATATTAGAGTGTAAATTTTAACCCAATGAAGGGTTGCTAGTCTATTGAGTGTAGGTGATGGATCAATTATAAAAGAAACAGTATTTATATGAAATCAGAAGGATTGAAGTGCTAAAAGGTCTAACCAAGAACTTGTATAAGACAATCATTCTATTTTCATCTGTGATGTAGTTATAGGATGCCAAGCAG